TAAGCAAGGCTTTCTTGAAGATGAAGAATTTAAAGTGTAGGATATATCGAAAAAGACAACCATCAGGTGAAACTGCTTTTCTAATTTCGGCAATGCTTCACTGATCAAATTATTTTTTTATGAAATTATTTTCATATCAAAGCTGTTTTTAGCACCTGTCATTTTGACAGCCGTTATTTTAGCACGTGTCATTTGGGATCTGTCATTTTTACAGCCGTTATATTGGCACCTGTGATTTTATCAGCTGTCATTTTGAGCGTCGTCATATATTTTAGCATTTTTTTATTTTAATAAAATAAATAATAAAAATTTAAAATCGAATAAAATCTTTAATATTTGGATTTTTTAAATAAAATTTTAAATTTGTCGATAAATTATAGTAGATAATAAATTGCACCATTTTAATTTGAATTATCTCAAATAGGGGGCCTGGAGGCGGGTGAGGCGACAGGAAAAACTAACTTTTTTTCGCAAACTTTAATTTAAATTCTGTTTACGCCGAACTTGTTTATTTAATGTCATTATAAACTATTATAAATTTGTTGTGGGTCCCATGTCTAATAACTGAGATATTGGTATACATAAAATCCACCAGCCGCCACTGGCTCACAGTGTGGAACTATTATAATTTACAATAGAAATATAAATTTTCCCAGAACAATCCTGTTTATTCATTGGCGATCTGGGATATTTTTTTTTTAATTAAATAGTTTATCTAGCTATAGCTATGAAATAATTGTTTACCTGTTTAACCCGTTTCTCGACGCAACTCGAGTGATCACCCATAGAGCACAAATTTAAGTCATCCATATGGTGTCCATAGGACATCCGTCTCTGTACAAATGGATATCCATAGTATGTCCAAGAATATTATATGGATGTTCCATGTACGTACACATAACGTAACTTTGGCACACTATAGGATGTCCATGTTATGTAATAAATGTACATTAGGGTGATTCATTTCCGCAAAGTTTTTTTTTTTCGGTGCTCAGGCAAAATATTAATCTACCTATAGAAAAAAAAAATTTCACCCAGGTAGAGCTCTTAATATCAATTTTAAGTACTTGCAGTTTAAATTTAAAGTTTTCCCATTTAAAATGCATGTAAAAAAATGTTTTTTTTTTCAAATTTCTAATGCTCGCCCGCTCTTTACAATATTGTGAATCGGTTTTATGGACCTTATAGGGAATTTCACGCTCTTCAAAATTGTCTTTGTGTTTTTTTGTGTAACTCGTAGTGGTTCGCCAGTAGGAGTCATCAAAGTTCAATTTTTTGAATGAACATTTTTTTTTGCAATTTTGTAGGATGACATACATTCTGGGAACATCCTTAAGTCGTTTTTAGTATGTTATATTTTATATTCCTAAATGACTTTTAGAAAGGTTTGAAATAATTCGAAAATTTTCAAAATAAGTTTTATTTTGAAAGGACACAGTTTATGCAGACAAACAGGCACCAATACCATTACTACCTAAAGCTTGCAGCTCGTTATTTCTTAACTTGTTAATTAATTTGTAAATACAAATACTTAACTGTAATAATGTTTAAATAGTTAAAACATACCTATTTAATTTAAAGTAAAAAACTGAACTACTGTAAATACTCAGTTAATATAAATAAATAATATAAAAGGAAACAAATAAGCACCCCAAAGACCTTTAAGGAACCAAATACCCCAGCTACATAAAATTCTAAAAGTATAATGAAAAAAACATACATATACATACATAATATATTATATACCTATAGCTAAAATTAAACATTTAATTGAATTTTTTTTATTTCTCCTCTTAACATCTTTCTTTTGCCCTTCTTAACCAATCTCCAATTCGTTGCTCAGCCTCTTTGTAATTAATTGAATGCTCATATTTCTGTGCACATTCTGAAATAAAAATTATATTGTTACCCAAGCAGCATTTTAAGTTTAAATAACTACAAATTTACTACTAAGTCAACTTTAAAGTATTTTTTACGGTTAACCAAAACGGTTTTATAACGGTATAGATACGAAAAATTACCAAATTTGGGGAATGGTTTATTTCGTTATTTTACCCACATAATAACCTTTTTGATCTACTAAGAGAATTACGTAATAAAAACAATATAAATACCACAAATTTACGTAAAAATAACGCTATAATTACTAACTGTTTGTTCTCTCTTTCTTAAACATTGATATTCGTAATTTCTTTGTTCTTTTAATTTATATTTTACAAAATGGTAGGAACTTAAGTAATTACAAAGAAATAAAGGCCACCCTACAGTAAAATTAAAAAAATAACTTAAATTGTCAAAACCATTGATATTTTGCATTAAAACTCAAACGCAAATTATTTTATTGATAAAAATAGGTACGATACGTCTTAAAAATTATGTGCCCTCTAAATATTTTACGGTTTTAAGAAAAATTATTGCTTGGGTAAAATATTAACAAAACTTAAAACCTACAAAATTTTATAAAATTTTTAAAAATCATTTAGTTTTAATCATATTTTAATAACTAAAACTTTTCTTATTATATTTTAGAAAGATATTCATGAAAAAATATTATATAAATGTTTAGATAAGTAATGGATGCCATCTTAAAAAACTCATTATGACGGCCTAAAAAAAAAATCCCGCAAAGTTTTATTTTTCACTTTAAGCTTATTTTTCCTTGTTTAGTCAATATTATTAGTATTTATTACCCACTAATAACCCTAAAAAATACTAGGCGAATAGGAATTATTTACGGTTATAAAGTGGTCTTAATATTGTAAAATTATGAATTATGAGTAAAATTTACCATTAAGTAAAAATTCTTACGTTAAAATTACCGTTAAATTTTCCTTTAGGTGAAATACACTAATAAGTAATTTTCTTTCGTAAAAATTACGTCCCTCATAATACTTTAAAGTGTTGAAACTTAAGGGTTATTAAAATAGGTAAAAATAACATAAATAAAACTTATATTATAACTTTAAAAAAGTTTTACTTCAAAGTAAATTTTTAAGGTTAATTCAACAAAATATTTACTTAAATTAAGTAATATTGCCTCAAAGCTCTACGCTTTTACTTAAAATGCTGCTTGGGTAAGAAAAAGTTTCTGGGTAACTACCAACATAGAAACATGACCCACTCAGCTGTGGGTTCGATGCTTCTATAGTTGGATAAAAAAAAATTGGAAATATTCTTTTATTTTAAGTGGGGTAAAAAAATATAAAAAAAATCTGCAAAATCAAAAGGGGTTGGGTTTAAAAGTCTATTTTTATTTACCGATTATCGCTTTGGCTAATGATAAGCTTCCAAACATAGTTTTTCCTTTTTTCCCTAAGAAGGAGAACTGTTCATCTAGACTATCTGTAATTATGGGTGCAAGACATCGTCTTATAAATTCATAGATTCCAAGTTGTGAAAAAAACTGAACCTATAAATCAGAAAAAGAAACTATACCCACTATAGAAAAAGAAACTATACTCACTAATGTAACTTTATGAAAATTCTAGGATAATGGATAAAAAAGAAATTACCAATGATGAATAATTTTCAGAATCTGAAAGGAAGTTTTCAAAAACTTCCTTACGATATTCTGCTCCACATTTTCCCACTTTGGAATTAATTTCTAATAACAGAGACTGTATATAATATATATTATATAACAGTTGTGGATTGCAACAACAACTAGTACCTGTTTTGAATGTTTCACCTAAAATGCATTCATTAGGTACACTAACAGTTTTAAGAACAGCTCAGAAAACTTACCTATACTAATGGAATAGGGCTCTTTTTGGAAAAATTACTGCCTGCTTGGAAATCTGTAACAGTGAAATTTAATTAGTATTGACATAAAAGTAATAAACATAATAATAATTAATTATTATAAATAATAAACATTAATTAAATACATTATAAATAATATTATACTACCTTCCAAATTACTGCACTTTTCTTCAACAAGCTAAGAGATATCCAAGTTGGTGGAGGAGGTAATTTTTTGGATTTTTGCCTAGAGGCTCCTCGTTTTCCTAGTTAGAATATTATAATAATCCAGCGAGTCTGAGACACTCCATGTCACCGTTAAAGTAAAACTTTTTCATGTCACCAGTTATAGGTACATACATACCTATATACATTAAACATTAACATTTATATCAATCTTTACCTTCTAAACAATTTCCTTGGTAAAATTGTCATAAAACTCCTATACTCTCATACTCCATACAAAAATAACTCTCCATGAGTGCTGGATAACACCAAGATACCTATATCTTGCAATTTATTCCAATAATTATTATTGTATATTTGTATTTTCCGATATTCTAAAAAAGGGGATTTTATATTTATCTGTATTTTTGTTTGATGCTGCTTTGGCAATGGAATCCACCCTTTCATTCAAAACAATCCCTGAATGACCTTTTCCACCACAATTTTCAATTTTGCATATCTGTTTCAGAAGTACCTACTTTTCTTTGACCGAAATCTTGTTTGAACGAAAGTAGGTGAATCTCATTTAAGAAAATACGATTTTTTATGTAAAATGTGAACGAAGCCTTACGCCTTTGACGTTTCAAAAACAACGTTGCCACACATTTTAGACCCATCGCGCTTTTAAATTTTAGACCCATCGAGTTTAGATCTCTCGTGTTTGGGTGTCACGAAGCGTACCCAAACGGAATACCCCTAAACATAGGTAATGTTTGGCTTGTCGTTGGGTGAACATACATGTTAAGAAATCGATGTTTACGAACAGCAAGAAAGGGAATAGGCCTCTTATTATTTTTAAATTTTATATGCATAACATGTTACTAATAATTAATATAAATTATCACTTACCTATAGGTATTTATAAATACATTCCCAGTTCATGTATGTATTGTATAACTTTAATAAACCTTTAAAACCAATAACTAAATTGCATTTTTTAACTACAATTTTCAAACTTTAATTTCTTTCAAGTTTGCCTCAAATATCACTAACTTAGTAACGTTTTAATTGTTTACGTTGGCAGCAGCTCAGTTGCCGCAACTGTCAAATTATAAAAAAAAAATTCGATTTGTTTATTCTTTAAAGTGCTTGTAATTTTAAACTTTACTATGTAATTTAAAACAGAGGAGATGATTTTAAGGGTTAAAAGTGAAATGTTGAGTATTTTGGCACATTAATAAGTATATACATGCATAAATCATTGTATATATAGTTTATTGATTTTTGAAGCCAATAATGCGAAAGACTAAAATCTAGTTATCATATAAAATAAAATCATGGAAACATCTGAAGAATACATAAAAACCCTGATAAAAACCGAAGACGAAATCGATAGCAGTTACGATGAAAACTATGAAATTAGTCCTGAAGATTTAGAAAAGGAATTTAACAATGAATTTAGAGAGGAAAAAAACGTTAAACAACTTTTGCTTAACAACACCACTGTATACAAATGCCAAATGTGTTCTGAGGAATTCCAGGACTTTCCCACGTTCAAAGAACACAGGCGTCAACATTACATTGAGAAAAGACGATGTCATATCTGCCAAATTGTGTGTCAGAGTTTTGTAAAGTTGGAAGACCATATTAATGTTCATCTGGGAAGAAAACCTCATAAATGTAACATTTGTGGAAAGTGTTTTGTGGCTGAGAATCATGTGAGATTGCACAGTAGAGTACATAGCGATGAAAAGAAGTACAAGTGCGATAAGTGTGATAAGGCTTTTAGGGATTTGGGAACATTAAGACAGCATGGATTGGTTCATTTAAATATTGAGGAGTTTAAGTGTAAAGTAAGTTACTATAATTTCAGCAAAGTTAAGGTAGTATCTCCATTTGAAGAGTTTGATAAATAAATAATAGTAGGCTGTTTAAAGTATCATTCAAAACTAAAAACAACATAAAAAGTAAATGAGTAACAATATAAAACGTTAATTTGTTGTTATAATGGCAAAATTAAGGTTTAAAACTGTCATATTTTTGTGTTTTTTAAGTTTTAAGTTTGCAAAACAAAATTTAAAAAGAATTGTTTTTTGAGATTAAAAAAATAGGTAGGGAATACCTACTAGGTATATATTTTTTTTATATGGTACTATTTTTTAAATGCGAAAATGTACAACACTTAATCAAAAATTCATTTAGTGATACATTTTTATTACAATGTTTAAAAATATATATGGATCACTTAAACAAGCTTCTTGCAAATAAAACCCAAATTTCTTTTGTTTCATTAAAATTGGACAAACGCCCCATTTTTTAGGTTTTGTCTTTGTTCTAACTGCATCAAATATTTTTAATACATTGTTGACCACCTGTGTGAATATTTTCCTTAACCATGAATTTGTATTTGATTTTTAATTTAAAAAATCAGTGGTTTACCCCTCGTTTTATTTTCTAAGTAGGTTTCAATTTTATAATTGAGGATAGATTTCAGTAAATTTAACTTTGTACCTTTATTGGCAATATGTAAAATTTTGAAATTATTGTTAAATGTCTGGTCTAGAATTAAATGGTTAGCATAAGTTGAGTTTTTAAATTAATAAATGATTTTCTATGTTCTTCTATTTGGGTTTTAAACTGTATGAGTTTTTGGATAATCTGCACATACCTAGTTGAAAAACTCCGATTTGTTATTTTTTAATATACCTACTTAAATTGTTGCTGGTTTTAAATGCAATTTGTATATTCTGCTTTTTGAAGAAATTAGACAAATGTCTCATACTCGGTCTCATATTAGTACCTAAGTATTTAACGATGATAATTAGAAATACTTGATTAATTGCAATTTTTATTTTTTGGAATTAAATAGGTATATTGGTGATTAATTGTGCGCTATTGCCATTATTAATTCCAATTTGTCTAATTAAATTTAAAATCCGATTGTCATGGGTTCGTTTAGAAGTCCGTGTATCATAGAATTGTATTCTGCTATTTTTTGTGAAAATGTGTGGAACTATTATGTAGGTATTGTTATGCCTGTATAGCTTGGTGTGTGAAATATTTTAAACTGTATGAGTTTTTGGATAATCTGCACATACCTAGTTGGAAAACTCCGATTTGTTATTTTTTAATATACCTACTTAAATTGTTGCTGGTTTTAAATGCAATTTGTATATTCTGCTTTTTGAAGAAATTAGACAAATGTCTCATACTCGGTCTCATATTAGTACCTAAGTATTTAACGATGATAATTAGAAATACTTGATTAATTGTAATTTTTATTTTTTGGAATTAAATAAATTGGTGATTAATTGTGCGCTATTGCCATTATTAATTGCAATTTGTCTAATTAAATTTAAAATCCGATTGTCATGGGTTCGTTTAGAAGTCCGTGTATCATAGAATTGTATTCTGCTATTTTTTGTGAAAATGTGTGGAACTATTATGTAGGTATTGTTATGCCTGTATAGCTTGGTTTGTGAAATATTTTAAATGTGTCTCTTATCCTTTTTTTTTAATAGTAATATCTAAAAAGAGAATTTGATTGTTTTGCTCTTCTTCCACTGTGAATTTAATATTAGGGTGTAAAGGACTAAAAATACTTTTTGCATTTTTTATTATGTGTCTAATTTCTTCATTATATTTTTTGTCGGATCTTTAGTTAGAATTTAATATTTGTCATCTGTAAGGAAATTACGAGGGAAATTATGAGTGTTTTCTAAATAGTCATTTTTATTAATTGCAATTAAGGTTTTTCCTTTATCTGCTCTAGTAAAAATGATGTCTTTACTTTTTAATCTAATTAATTTAGCTGTGAAGTAATCTATCTAATTTTGTAATTTAAAACGCGAATAATTATTATTATTATAAAAGTCTTATTATCTTATGTGAAAAATTGATTAGGTAATAATAATTTCTGAGGCTAATGATTTAAGATTTTTACTATTTTCTGTTTTATGTTTTTGTGACATTAGTTTTAATATTATAATTAAAACCTTTTTCAAATAGTGTAATTACAATGTTGTTGTTAAATTGTACATCTGAGATTAATGAATTTATCAGAAAAAGTGTGTTGTGAATAGTTATTATTTTATTTCGTCGATAAAGGTTTATATTTTATGAATAAATTAATTTTGTTTCGTTTAAGAATTTTATTGTGTAATATGTAATTGATTTGTTCTTTGATATTATAGTCACTGAAATCAAATTCTACTATTCTAAATCTAAACTTTAATTTAGAATGGATCACGTATAATATACAGGGTGTCATAATTAGCGTGCAATACTTTAACAGCAGATTCTACGTACAAAAATAAGAAAAAACGTTCCCATAAACATAGGCCGAGAAATGCTTTCTAAGGGAACTACAGCCCCCAAATAAGGAGCCCCTGAAGATGGTTTTTATTTAATATATCCAAAACCGTTCAAGGTAGAAAAGTAAAATTTTGGAAATTATTCAAACTTTTTATGGCCATTAAGATGTAATAATAACAATTCAAAATTTCCATGAGGCGTGGGTCAGATTGATAGGGAATAGGGGTTAAAACCACCCTAACATTTTGTACGTGTTTCGTGCTGGGATTTGATGTGAGATTATGAAATTTCGGAATTTTACACACAAAAAGGTCCTCTTGTTAAACTTTGATATTCTCCATTGTTTTCGCGTAAAATCCATTTAAAAATTACCTTACATAGCATAAAAGATCATAATGAATTCACAAGAGAGAAAAATTCAGAGTAGGCCATGGAACACAGCTGCCATCTTTAGGAAAAATTATTTAAGACAGGTGACAGTTTCATGTAATATGTGACAGGGTGTTTAAAAATTGTCCATGGCCATGTTTAAAAATTGTCCATGGCCTACGCTGAATCTTTTTCTCTAGTTATGATTTCATTATGAATTTTTATGCTATGTAAGGTAATTTTTAAATCGATTTTAAGCGAAAACGGTGCATGCTATCGAAGTTCATCAGAAGGACCTTTTTTGTGTGTAATACTCTGAAATTTTATGATCTGATATCAAATCATAGCACAAGATACGTACAAAAAAATTAGGGTAGTTTTTCCCCCCTCCATTTCTATCTGACCCACCCCTTATGAAAATTTAAAATTTTGAATTTTCCAATTTATTGGCTATATAAAGTTTGATTATATCCCAAAATTTCACTTTTCTATCTTAAACGGTTTTGGAGATATTAAATAAAAACCATCTTCAGGGGCTCCTCTTTCGGGGGCTGTAGCTTCCTTGGAAAGCATTTCTCGACCTTTTGTATTTATAGGAATTTTTTTCTTATTTTAGTACGTAGAATCTGCTGTTAAGTATTGCACGCTAATTATGGGACACCCTGTATAAGTTGTGTATGTTCCAGTGCTGGATTAACCCAAAGGCCAACCTAGGCAGAAGGCTAATTTTTTTAAGTAGGTTAAATATTAAAAATAATCAATTAAATTTAAAAATTTAATTACGTATTACTTACAAATGTTAAAAATCCAGTGGTTGTAGTTTTTTATTTTAAAATCCTAGGTTATTGATCATGCAGGAAATTTTTTTTTAGCGCAGTGCATTGTCTGCACGCGCTGCGGTATAGGCGACATCCATCAAAGAATAAAAAATTATTCATATTTCCGATTTTCTTATTAAAATAAAAAGGGGTAGGTACTCTCTAAAAACGAATTAGTCAAAAATGACTAATTTAATAGTTGTTAGTGGCCAATTTCTTATGTAAAATTGTCCCCTGAATCCGAAAATGTCATCAAAAGTTAAAAAAGTAGAACAGTTTTTGAGATATATCCATTTAATATGTTAAATTTTGTGATACCATGGTATTCCATGGTTAACCATGGTACAACTGAAAAAGAAGCCACTAATAACTATTAAATAAGTCATTTTTGACTAATTCATTTTTGGAGAGTAGGTACCCTTTTTTATTTTAATAACAAAATCGGAAATATGAATAGTTTTTTATTCTTTGATGGATGTCGCCTATACCGCAGCGCGTGCCGACAATGCTCTGCGACCCCGCCAAAATTTTTTTGCATGCATGATCAATAATTTAGGATTTTAAAATAAAAAACTACATTTGTAAGTAATAATTGTTAATAAATCGTGCCCTACTTGCTCCCCTTATCTGTGCGCCCCTGTCGGCTAAAATTGTACTGGGATTTTTTGTTGAGTTGAGGCCATTTTCTTATTCCATATATTTGTCCTCTTGTAGTTGATTTGCTTCTGTTCTGGGTCTTAATAGGATGTACTTAGGGAACATATTAAGTTACTGGCACTGATTGTAAAACCAAATATTTTGAGTATTAATTTTGCTTCTTAAGAAATCCAGATCAATCCTTAACGTCCTATACGGCGGGTTACTTTTAGTCGTACTGCCTGTGCATTCGGTATCTTTGGTCTATTTAATGTAGGGGTTCGTTAACTCTGTTCGACTCTTATTATTTCTTGTTGATTTCTACGGATTTGTCACTTGGGAAGGTATAAACACACCCGTAGGCTCTTATTTACGCAAATAGCGAATTGCAAATATTAAAAAACCTATCTGAATATAGCTCCTTGTCCCCTTGTAATTTGTCTCTTCCAGGTTTATGCAGCGATGAACTACCTGTTCAGGTGGGTGGTTCCGTGACTTCGACAGGTGGGGTGGCAGTTCACTTCGCGCTTTTAAACTTTTAGATTAGGTTTTTAATGCACTGACTATGTATAGTTGTTTATAGTTCAGAGCGGAGAAACTATCACGTCTCGACGGTAAAAGCGATGATGAGGTACTGATGTGATGAGATGAGAATTTTTTGAGTTTTAATTTTATTTTTGTTATTTTCATGTTTTAAGACTATTTATTTAAAAAAATTAAACCCATTTAAAAAATAAAAATTTGTAAATAATGACGAAGTTTTAAATGTTAAAATTTTTTATGAGAACTGGCGAAAAATACAATACAATACAGCTCACTCCTCCAATATAACATGTTAAAAAACCGATAAATTTAAGTAGTAAGTATGTTTTTACACTAAATTTTCACTGCAATGGTAGGCCTAGAACAGAGATGCACAGCTCGGTTAGTACGAGCCCGCCGGCTCCTACGAGCTACTCGCGTGCTCATGAGTGCTGAAGGGAGGGGAAGTCGAGTCCGCAAGCAAGGTGAAGTGATGGGGAAATATGAATCAAAATTTGTAAACAGTCTCACCAATCCGTCAATATTAAAGAGTGCCTTGAGAATCTGACAGATATAAAAATTATTTTGACAGTAGAAGTTTCTGTTTACGTAAATTCATTTAATCTTTGTCTCTCTCTCTATATATATTTTTTATCCACTACGTCTGGAGTAGCATACGCCTCTCCCTCAGTAATGGATTTGGTCTGAGCCGATGTGGCTACACGTGGAATTTCAAATCTTGAAACATCCACTAAATCGATTGCACCAATCACAAAATACCTCGCTGAAAGGTCAAAGCTTTCGATATTGTCGAGAAATACGGGAATATTTCTATACCGGGAACCCCATTTTATCCTTCCTGGGTCAAAGTCAACTATTTTCAGACTTTTTCATGGAGCAATGTACAGCCGTTGAAAATAAAATCGGTAAAAATGTGTGACAGTTGGAGTGAAATTTAGATTTTAACACAACCAGAAATTGTGAAAGAAGCCATAATCAAAATTATACTCTCCGTCGTAATTTTTTATTTTAATTCACGACCCATGACACATTTGACATGGTTTGACTCATTCTAGACATTTTATGGAAGGGATTTATCATAAAAATCATTGCTGTCAAAAAAATATTGCTGTTTTCGTCGATATAAAAGCATGTTTCGTATTTTCACCACCTTTTCCTCTATCATAAAAATTATAAACACAATCATATTTTTTTTAGGTTTGCGGAGAAGACTGCAAGATGCTGACCAACCTAAAAAAACACATGCTTACCAAACACCCCGATAAAACCCCTCGAAAGTGCGGCATTTGCTCCTCCCAGTTCGAAACCGATCGTCAATTTGAAAGCCATCTGAAAACTCACAAGGAGCTCACCTACCCATGCGAGTATTGTCAAAAAATATTCCCCACCCTCTACAAACTAAAAAAACATGTTGGCCGTGCCCACTTACCCAACCACTGCGACGATTGCGACAAGATTTTTTACGACAGAAGCGAGTTTACTAAACACAAAAAAACTCATGCCGAAGAAAAAAGTAATTTGACTTGCGAGGTTTGCAGTAAGAGTTTCGATAAAGTGAAAAATCTTACCGAGCACGTTAGGTTGCAACATAAAGCCGACGGCAAGGAAAATAAATGCCATATATGTGGAAAAGCCTTTATTAACTACTCGTTGCTAAGAAATCACGTTAAAACTCACAACAAATGCTTTCAGTGCAATTTTTGCGACCTGGTTTTCAGCTCAAGATATAATCTGGAAACTCATTCCGTGGTTCACACGAAAATAAGAAATTTTGTGTGTGAGGTTTGTAAGAAAAGTTACACAACCAAAACCTGTCTGAAAAACCACCTTGCTACTCATAAAGAGGAACGGGACTTCGAATGCGATTTATGCGGGAAAAGATTTAAAACCAATCGTAGATTGTACGTGCACAAATTTTGTCACCAGACCGAAGAAAAATATTCATGTGAAATATGCAACGCCAAATTTCGAGTGAAGCAATACCTGAAATTCCACATGAACAAACACAACAATGAGAAAAAATTTCAGTGCGAGATTTGCTTAAAAAAATTTAAACACAAAAAAACACATTTAAAGCATATGAAAATTGGAAAACATAAAATTAATTTTGATTGCGATTTTTGTGATGAGTCTTTTAAAGATAGAGATAAACTTTTAGACCATTACGATAAAAACCATGAAGAAGATATGGAAGAAGAGTCTAGCGATGATAATAGTGATGGAAAAGTGGTTGGTAATTATGAAAAAGTTAGAGTCAAAAATGAAATAAAGACGGAAAATGAAATGGAAGAAGAGTCTAGCGATGATAATAGTTATGAAAAAGTGGTTGATAATTATGAAAAAGTTAGAGTCAAAAATGAAATAAAAACTGAAAAATATGAAGAAGATAGCAATGATGTAATGGAAGTAGAACCGATTAGTTCTGTTATAATAAAACAGGAGCGTCAAGCGTTTAAATTAGAAACACATTGAGATAAATATAAAAAATGCATCGAATCTTCCAAATAGCTAGTCTCGTTTAAACTTGATAATTGTTTTAAAAAGTATCCAATGATATAGTTTTTTGGACTGATTTAAATTAATATTTCATAATTGTTTTAAAAAGTATTTAATGAGGTAGTTTTTAATTTATTGAACTGATTTAATGTGGCATTTTCTATGTGTAGTAGATATTAATCTTTTTTTGTGATATTTTTACTAGTTCCTTAGATCTATTGTTGTGATTTATAATTAATTTATTATTAAAAGATAACTAAAACGTAATCTGTGTTTAATTTACAAAAGAAAATTAAATAGGAAAACACAGACAACCTTAAAACTCACCATAATGTAGTTATACAGTGTGTTCCATTTAAAACGAACCAAGCTAAATTTCTCGGAACCTGAAATTTTTGTGAAAAAACGCCGAGATACCTACGTAAAGTTTTATATCGAGGGGGACAACTTTTATGGCTAAATTTGGTTTCTCATCCCTACCCCTTGCGCCCAGGAGCTACCCCTTAAGAATTTGAATAGGGAAATACTTTTAAATTCAAAAGTAAGGGTATAATAAAACAGAGTTTTAATAACCCAGGTAGCACACTGACGTCTGCTGACGTTGAAATTACGTCATTTAAACGTCAGCATGCTACCTGGGATGAGCTTAAAAGTAGTTTGTAAACTATAGTTTATATATATATATATATAGGATGTTCCTTATTTAGGGGTAGGAAAAAATTTAACAGAGGCGCCGCCCAAATCGGTTCCAAATCATACAAAAAAAAATCCTGCTAAATTTTAGATCAATCCCACAGGGGTTTTTTGAGAAATAATTGAGAAAATTCGAAAGGCTGATATAACTTCGAAACGGTCTATCGTAGAAAAAAAAAGTGTATATAAATTTTGTGGGTTTATTTATGATAAACAACTTTCTTAATTACAGTTCTAAAAAAATTTGTTGGGCTCATAAAGCGATAAAATGCTTTTTTGGGTACTTTAGCGCCACCTACTTTTTGAATTTTCTGTCCAAGATCATCGACCCAATGTCATAAATTGTAGGGGACAATGCGGCCTAAATTTTTTGTTTAAAATTATACTGGAAAAGCTGCTTGAAAAAAAAATTTCTGGGTGTCACGCCCAAAGTCTATTTTGGGCAAACTAAAAAAATTTTTTAGGGTATCATTTTTTTGCATTTACCAATTTTTTATAATTTAACAAGTAACATATCGCACATGGGCGAAAACAGTGTCATAAGTAGTAAAATCTTAATTCCGGGATAATGACCGTAACAGATTTTTGAATAATAAAATTCTGACTATCTCGGAATTTCTTAAGAACCTCACAGTTTAGGCTTATAAAAACTTTTAAAAATACCTTAAATGTCAATTTATACAATTACCTACCTCAAAAAATTAAGGAACTAACTTCCAAACGATTTAAATCGACACTAAAAAATATTTTATTAGGACAATGTTTTTATTCAATTAAGGAATATCTTGAACATGTTTTTTAACCATATACCTATAACTTATAGTTATAGGTATATGTTTTTAACCCATACATAACGTTGTATTTTCTTTTAAACACTGTTTTTGTTTGTTTGTGTTATTTATACAATTTTTATTTATGAACAAAACATATGTATTTTTATTTACTATGTATTTACTTAATATTCTCTAATGGTATACAATATATTGTATACTTTTTTTTTGACCTGTCACAAACATATTGTAATATTGTAATGTTGACCAATAAATTTATTATTATTATTATTATTATTAAGGTTTTACTACTTATGACACTGTTGTCGCCCATGTGCGATATGTATACATAGATTTTTATGTACAGACAAATTTTAAAATTTGGTCTGGTTTTAGACATTTGCCGTTCTTCAACATCTTTTAAAAGGTTTCTATTTTAAAATAAAGGAAAGTCATTTGAAACAATTGTAACGCTAATAATTATTTCTAATTTGATATTAATAGAACCTATGATAATAACACGCAAAGCAGACTTAGTATGCGGCGCAGAGCACAGAACAATATGCGCAGACTGCGCCGCAGACAACGCATAACGGAAAGGTGCAGACAGAAACAATTCGTATGAGTTCACGGCCTCGTTTGAACAGGGGGGTATTCAGGAAATTTAATAAATCGAAGTATAAACAATTAAATAATAATATTATTTATTTATTTAATTTCATGCCTCAATTTTTTTAACATGTGGGTAGTATGTTTTTTGCTTACGCATGTCGAAGCCAATCGGGGGCCCCCCTAGCCGGGGGCCCCGTATCATTGATACGGCTGATACCGCGGTAGCTACGCCCCTGATTAAGGTAACCTTAATAAGGTTTAACTAAAGTAAAAATAAAGTCTTTTTAGAAGTAAATACTCTTAAATGCCAAATTGTTTTAATGTGAAGCCTTTAAGATACCTATAAAACCATTTTTAAACCCATCTTCTCCCAGAGTATAATGTACCTAATAAATAAATAAATAATATAATAAAATCAATTCAAGTAAATTTTGTATTTAAAATGTTTATTGTTATGTAGGTATTTTTATTTATTATTTTTTATGCAAAAACATGTTTAAGTCTCCAGGTGTTCAGCAAGGTACCTGTAACATTCCTGGAAAACGACTTAAGCTAGGCAACCGACGTTTGCTTAAGTTATGAAGGTACAGTTGCTCGGACTTTCTATGCAGTCTTGCCTTTAAGCGCGCGCAATCGCACGCGCTTCAAACCTGTTTCTTTTGCCTGGCTTCCTCAAAACACATCAAGAACTACTTTCAGTTCTCGACGTACAAGCATTATAGTGAAAATAGTCGCGTTTCTCTATTAAATCGGTGTTTTAAAACGTTAAAATATGATATAGAAGCTTTGGATATTACAGTGTCAAGTGTTGAGTCGTTTTAGTTTAATTTATCAACAAGTTTAAAAAAATCAAGATGCCTTGTTCTGCAGTTACGCTCAGTTTGGCCACAATTACTTCCATAATCGCGGTAGCTTTGCTCGCTATAGCTTTTACTACGGATAACTGGCTTTATGTCGAAGTTAAAAGGACCAATATACAGGTAACAAAAATTAGTCATATGATACCTTAAAAATGTCTTTAAAAAGTCTTAAAATGTCAAAACAGGATACTGACACCTGTTAATAATAAGCTGTTTTGTAACCTCATCCGTTTCCGGTGTTTAAATATTTTTAATAACTCTCTAAGAAGTAGGATTACAAAGTATGGTTAAAAATGTAGTGCGAGAACTATATTTCAATACTGAGAGAATTGCATATTTTTAAGATGTCGCTTGTGCTATAATAGCATACAGCACAGATTGTAGAGATTTCAACGGGAAGTTAAACAAAGAACCTTATTGCAAACTCCTACAACTTGTAGGCTACAAAAGTTAACAAAACATCATAATATTTTTTTTATTTTTGCAATGAATTATTGCAATAAGTCATAGTTTATTTTTAGAGAGTACCTACCTAGATATTATTTATCGGAAACGGTGAATCCTATAGCAAGACTAAATCATTATAAAGAAATACGTATACGTATTTCTTATACAGGGTTTTCATTTTAAAACGAACCACCTTAAATATCTTTTAAATTAAAAGAATTTTAAAAAATCCAAAAAATACGTCGAGTTATATAAGAAGGGGGAACTTCTATCACATTATTTAATTTAATCTAGTGCTCACCCCCTCGCGCCCACCCACCCCCACTTTAAAATTTCAAATGGCACCCCCCTACAAATGACACCTCATTTTGAAGAGCATAAAATTCTCTATCCAATGGTGTGAAAAAATAGTAAATCGGATGGGTATTTAAGGATCTGGAAGATAAAATGTGTGCTGATAAGATAAAATAATAAGGTAAAAACAATATTGTTTTTAGGTATCTTTTTGTGCAAAAGGTAATAAAAATGTCCTTAAAAACATTTAAACTGGCACTTTTATCATTAATTCATTTTCTACATTGCTCCTAGTAAGTTTAAAATTAAGACATTAAAATGGGATACACAAGAGTGTAGAAGTATTTCGTCTCAAATTTTAGCCCGTGTCCGCGAAGAATTTCAAGATCGACTTTACTATTGCCTAGCGAAAAACGGCGAACATTTCGAACAATTTATAAAGTAAAAAATGTATTCAATTTAAAAATAAAAATATACAAACCTTTTTACTTTTTTCTATTTACAGCACACATTTTATCTTCCAGATCCTTAAATAGCCATCCGATTTACTATTTTTTCACACCATTGGATAGAGAATTTTATGCTCTTTAAAATGAGGTGTCACTTGTAGGGGGGTGCCATTTGAAATTTTAAAGTAGGGGTGGGTGGGCGCGAGGGGGTGAGCACTAGATTAAATTAAATAATGTGATAAAAGTTCCCCCTTCTTATATAACTCGACGTATTTTTTGGATTTTTTAAAATTCTTTTAATTTAAAAGATATTTAAGGTGGTTCGTTTTAAAATGAAAACCCTGTATACCTATAAGTATTTTCCTTGAACATAAACAAATAATTTTTTTGTATAGGGTACTTTGTTAATTTTAATGTTCTGAATATTTTATATAATAAAAGCTGCAAAATTTAATCACAGGTAGAGGGATAGAGGTACAAAAACAGCCCCACCTTTTTTTGGGCTAAGAAATTTTTTTTTTCTGAAATTTTTAAAACTTAGAGCTTTCCAGTAAAAAAAATTGTAGAATATGTATTATAAAATATTTTGGCATCAAAATTGTCAAAAATATATTAGGCTATACATTAAATAAAAAAAATCGCAGGAAATATTTTATAAAAGTAAAGATAATTTCATTATGAGACAGGTGTGGACGGGCAAGATAAATCTTTTTTGTCCCGTCCACACCTTTTAATAATTAAAATTATCTCTACTTTTATAAAATATTTTTTGCGTTTTGTTTTAATTAATTAATTTTTCGTGCCAAAATATTATATAATAAAATTTATATTCTACAATTTTTTTTATAAAAACAGTTTAGTAATTCGTGCGTTTCGACTCGAAACTTTCGAGCGCTTGAAATGGCCGAAAAGTCTAAATAAAAAAATAACAAAATAACATTTTTGGTCACAACATTTTATTTTTCAATAAAGGTTTTGATGCCTTTCAAAGTAGCAATTACAAATAAGTATATAAAAAAATATGTGTATATTTTCCACTTAAAATCCTACATTCAAATAACGTTTTCATCCAACGTTTTAACTATACGTATACGTATTTCCCACAACGTTATGAGTATCTACCTATAACAAATTATTATACAAATTTCCAACGTTGTCTATAGACTTATAGGTGTCTACGTGTATTTCTATAGAAATTAACTACATTCTCTAAAAATTTCTATAGAAATTAACTACATTCTCTAAAAATTAATTAGTCCCATGGTATACGAGCCCTAACCACAAAATGTTCGGACACTTTATAATTTATACAGAAATATTTTTCGTGAATACTATCTCAAAATTATTAGAGGTTATGAAAAATTCAGCTCATTTTAGCATATACCCCTCGAAGCGATTTTTATTTTTAAAAAGTTTACCTTTTATTTTTAGCTTTTAAAAAAAGGCTAACTTTTAAACTTTTTTTTGTATGAGTAAAGAAAGTTATAAATGGGCCCATTAAAAAGAGCATAAAATATTATACAAACCCTGAAAATTTGGTAAAAAATAAATAAGTTATAAAAAAGTATAAGTAATTTAAAAATGCTATTTTTAAAGAGTTTTTGCAATTTTCTTAGGAAACGGGAGATTTTGCAGATATATATATCGTTATAACTTTCTTATTATTTATACAATTTTTACCAAATTTTCAGGGTTTGTATAATATTTTATGTTCTTTTTAATGGGCCCATTTATAACTTTTTTTACTCATACAAAAAAAAGTTAAAAAGTTACCCTTTTTTTAAAAGCTAAAAATAAAAGGTAAACTTTTTAAAAATAAAAATCGCTTCGAGGGGTATATGCCAAAATAAGCTGAATTTTTCATAACTTCTAATAATTTTGAGATAGTATTCACGAAAAATATTTCTGTATAAATTATGAAGTGTCCGAACATTTTGTGGTTAGGGCTCGTATATACCATGGGATAGCATGGTATCCCCGATAAGCCAGTTCCTATGTAAAATTGTCCGCATAATTCAAAAATTTCGTCAAAAGTTCTAAAAGTAAAACAGTTTTTGAGATACCTATAGTCAATTTTCCATATAATATGGAATTGACTATATCTCAAAAACCGCTCTACTTTTATTATTTTTGACAGTATTTTGGGATTCAGGGGGCAATTTTACATAAGAATTGGCTATTATATCGGGGATACCATGCTATCCTATAGGATAGCATATATGGTATACCATGGTATACCATGGTATACCATGGTATAAGTGAAAAAGCAGCCACTAATAACTGTAGTAATTAGTCATTTTTGACTAATTCATTTTTAGAGAGAAGGTAGATTTTAGATTTTTTCTAGAACAAGCCCTTAATACTTTTTAATTAACCAATACTTTTATTTAAAATAGCAAATAATAATTTATGTGGTATTTTTAAAAGGTGTTTAAAAATGCGTAAAATGTTTAAACCGAGGTTCAAGCGTTCCAAAAATTTTATTATGTAGGTATTAAACTACTGTAGTTTAACTCCTATAGTTCCTAATTGTACCATTAATGGTACAATCAATCAAAATCAATTTTTTCAATGCCTGAAAAAACGGAAAAAACAGTTTTTTTCCTCAATTTTTTCAGTTTTTTTCACACACAATTGTTTTTAGAGCTTCTAAAAACAATGATTGTAGGTGCACATGTGTGGGTTTTAAAATCAAACGCTTTAGCAATAAGTAGGGTTTTAAAGTGTGGGAAAAAAACTGAAAAACTTGGGGAAAAAACTTTTTTCCGTTTTTTTTCAGGCCTTAAAAAATGATTTTTTTCTGAAATATACAAATAATCAAAAACTCACCATTATTTTAACTATTAAAAACTATCCTTAAGAATAATAAATTTATTACAGAAAAAAACTAAGCAATTGCATTGATTCATTTAAAAAAATAAACGTAAACGTTAAATATACTGTCGGTTGGGTCTTTTTTGGAAAAGGGAGTCCATAGAAAATATTCATTTAAAAAATAATGAATTATTTATAGAGTAATTTATAAATTACAAAATTATAATTTTAAAAATCGATGTGTCAAATAAAACCGAATTTGTTTTTTTAAGACCCGGTAGAAGATTCTTACTAAACTTTGATAATTGGAATAATTATTATATTATATATTATAGTATATATATATATGATTATAATCAGAGTCGAAAATTCACTTTTTTCTTGATATAAGTGTACATGATTTGGAAACTCAAAAAAATTGACTTTTTATTCTTTTTCGTATTATACCCTTTGAATGAAATGAAAAAAATGCAAATTTCACAGTTTTCCCGTTTTTTTCCGATGTTTCTGGAAATTTTAAAACCCTAGTCATAAGCGATAATTTTATTAGCAAATAAATGTATTTTTTTTAAATAAATTAATTTGTAGTTTAGTCTACAGGTAAATACAAATTTAAGCTATACATATTTTTTTTAACAAGTAGTATAGATTCTACACAAGTAGATTTTACCTACCAACAAAAAAATAAAGATTACAGGAGCAAATTTAATATACCTACAATATTAGAAATATCATTAAGTATAAAAACATTTCTATTAAATAAATGTAAAATTCGCGTTACTTATAAATTTTATTTATAGAAACTCACTTTCATTTGCAATTGTAGTTAAATTCTTTAATCGAAATACACACAAAAATAATAATAATAATAATTTATTAAACTACTTGACAATTTACTTAAATTAGCAAAATACTTTCTCCATAAAGTATACCAAAACAGCAATAATAATACAGCCAAAATCTACATTTGACGCCACTATTTTTTTCAAATGTATTTTGGCCTGCTAAACTAAAAAAATACAATAATTTTTTATGTCAAGGTTTTCGAGATATAAATTTTGGTTTTTTTTCATATGTACAAAATAAAGTATTAAAGGACAAAAGATCATTTTCATT